TATATCTTACTAATGGTCTGCTTGCCCTGGCCACTATACACTCTATGTACTTGTTTTCATCATATGTGAGGTCCTCTACCTTGTAATACCAAGGACGGGACATGGAACCTGATCTGTGCAGTTGGAGTTTAATAGATACCTAGCAGTGTCTCATTGAAGGTCTCTGTCTTCATAATTCAGTGAACTGGCTATTGGCTTTCTGTTTTTTCTATGTGGGTTTGGAGTTGCCTATCTGTGTCCATTATTTCTTTATACTACTTGTGACTTATCCTACTGGAGTTGGTTTGTTTCTGGTCGTGTTTGTATGGTTATGGATGGAGTGCGACTCATGTTGATTATTTATACCTGATACATTTTTTTCCGAGGTCCTTCTTGTACTAGGTCCATGTCTTGATGCCACCCAATTCATGACACTCCACTTCTTCGAGAGCAATGAGCATACCTGTTCCAGAAATGGTGCAGTCCTCCACATGTGTGCTTCTCTTCAATTACAGAGCACACCTGTTCAATTCTCTATGGACACTTTCCGCGGGGGTCTTATTTTATCTTACACCTGTCCCTCCACCTATTCACTGTGGTATTGTAGCTATTATGTGAGAAGAGGTATGTATTGTATTGGAAGTTTTTTTACTCTGAAAATAGATTTCTGGTAGATACCTACTTCTACTCGCACACTTCTGGCGTCTTCTTTTTCTCGTGGGCTTAATCTCAAAAGGGTAGTCCACATAAAGTAGTACAGAATGAACCAGCTGCTCTAGGAGAGTGTATTGTGCTCTTATCAGTGGAGAGTTATTGCATTATTATATATTATTATATAATGTGTTGCTTCAGTTGAAAAAAAAAACAGTAAAAGTGTCATCAATATAGTGTTTGTGATATAGTTATTTAAACTAACAGGGCATTTCTCGAACCAGTTTTTAATGGAAACTGAAAAACAAATTAGTCATAGCAGTTATGGGTTTTGATTCTATACTAACCTTATCATTTTGTTGAAAAATATTTTTTTTAGATAAACCATTTATTACTCCGAATAAAAGTATTAACGCCATCCACAACTCTTTTTGTAATGAAGATGACAAACTTCAGATAAATGTTTTCTTATTCTACCGGACATTTTGGCTTACGCCTTTTTCAAGGGTTTGTGAACATCACAGGTCACAAAGCTGATTTTATGTTATAGTAACCAAAAAATAATATAAAATTACAACAATGTAATGGAATGGTGCTTGTTGAAGCATGCTAAAACTATTGTTGAACAGATTAGAGTCTGACCATAAAAGTAAATGTGAAAAAACAAAAATAAATGTATCTTACATGAAATAATAATAGATTTATAAGGGCCAGGCATTGTATCTGTTAATGGAAGAGAATGTATCTGTCAAGAAAGTTGTCACGAATGTCTAAAATTTTGATCCAATAAGGTGCGTCGTTAATTATGTTGTGTGCCTTGATGTAATGTTCAGTGCTGGCTTCTTTGTTGTCAAGGTTTGCAATGGTATAAATGTGTTCTTTTAAACAATCATATATTGGACCACTGAATTCACCTATATATGTAGCTGAACATTGTGTAGGATTTTTCTAAACCATTGGTCTGAGCAAAGTATTTTTTTTTTGGACTTGCATATATTGTTGTTATTGAAGACTGAACGAGTAAGTATATCCTTCAGTGTTTTACTAGGGTTTTGTATGATGTGGATATTCAAACCAGATCTTTTAATTGCTTGATGAAGATGAGTAGTTAAATATTTATCCACGAAGGGCATAATCAATGAAACAGTGTTTTAAAATAGAAGCAATATGAAGAGTAAGTAGGATAGATTTCAATGTAATCTGTTGAGAAAGTCATCTATGCTGTTTAGGTGTGAAGGGATTTTATTGAGGAGAGGGTGAAGTAGTTTTTCGTGTAGGATACAGATGCTAACGGAGAGTCGCTTATGGAGAATATGGGTCTTAGAGGTGTGTCAGATATATGATTTTTGGATAATCCATACAGTTAAGGATGATTTGAATGAGATGGTTCAAGATTGTCTAGAAGTTGCCTGGGTATGATAATTTAACTTTTAAAGTTCTTAAAACTGTCTTTTGTATTTCTTTCTAGTTCTTTTGTAGGATCTTTGTTAAGTGGTTCATAACTAGATGTATCTTCTGGATGAACCTTAGTCTTTTCTACATAATTGGGTGTATATTCATTAAAACAAAGCCTTTGCACCTGTCACTCATTGATAGCTTACTGCTCATTTCTTGAAAGATTAGATTTTACGTGATAATTCTTAAAGCTATTTAAAATCCTGCAATCATTTTTAAGTTCTCAATACTCTTCTCTGTAGTAGGACATGTTTTGGGAGATATGAGTTTAGGAAAATCGAAATGTACAGGAGAAAGGTTAAATTGTGATTCATCCACATTGTTATTGGATATAGATATGTCTGTATACATAATTATGTAATGAACTCTGTTTTTATGTAATAGATCGTGTTTATTAAGGAGAAATAAAAGCTTTTTATCTTTAGTTAGATATTAGGTGTGTGTCCTTATCTATATTCTTTGAATTTTATTATAAATTTATATTTATAAATAGCTGTACATTTCTCCTCAGACAAAAACGCCGACTTGACACTGGTTACAAGCGAGCTTATACAGAAGACGAACTACAAGCAGCCCTACGAGATATTCAGACTGGAAAGTTAGGTACACGTCGTGCAGCTGTTATTTATGGTATTCCACGATCAACTTTAAGGAATAAAGTTTATAAATTGACATTGGAAAGAAAAAATAAACATAGAGGTACTTCTCTAAAAGCTGGTAGAATTAAGCAATCTTCTGTTGATGCAATTCAGCCAAAAAAGACTGAAGGTGACAGCTCAGACGTTGGGAGTGAATCGCTGCGACAATTGTTAAAGATGACCATAACACACAAGACACAGAACACCAAAACAATCTCACCAAGTGAACAGAATAAAATAAGGGAACCTTCAAATATGTGGCCATTTATTAGTCCTGATTTCTACACAAGTGACCATCTGAGCATCCATCGTTTAGTAAATGGTCTTGAGTATAGCCATGCTGTTGCTCCCCTCATATCTCAGGTGAGTTACTAAACCCTCATGTGTGATAGGATCTCACATTAAAAACCAACAGTTTCAAAATATACTTGCCCTTCTTTATTAACTGTTTCTTCTTTTATTCCTTTCACTTTCCATAAATATTTATTATTATTTTTTTCAAGGACATCAGCACCATTTGTGTTTTCTTTTGTTCTGATGATAATCTTTGTTCTTTGACTTGGTTTATGTTAGACTTAACTCTACATCGTTCAGTTTTTTGTTACCTATTTGAATCATTCTATTCTTGTCACCACCTAAGTCTAATTATTAATTTGTTGTTTTTTTTACTAGATATTAGTAACTAATTAGTTTATATCATATATTTTGACTTAGTCTGGTGCCATCTTCTGGGAAGCCCTGGTAATGTATGTGATGGCAGGAACCAGGATTTGATCTAAGTCTTCTTGTTAGAAAATAGTAACAGTGAGGAGTCAGTTGCAAGTTCACAAATGAAAATCAGTAAAATATTTGTCTTTCTTTGATTATCTTGTAGGCTATTAACAGAACATTTTTACATTATTGATTCAATACTTTTCCAATTACTTTTTATTTAGGTACCCTGCTATATAGAAATGAGTGGAACAAAAGAAATGTTAATGGTATTAGCTTGTTTATCAAAATTTCCGTTATCGGATTTTCATCTTCTAAATCATTTAATCAGGTCTCAAAAAAATAAATAAGTAATAATAGAGTGATAAGAAACAAGTGATGTTATCAAATAGACACTTATTGTAACCTTTATTATACACTTACATAGTTTACTGATAAAAGTACATTTTTACTGTCATTCACTCTGGAAGTGTATATATAATAAAGTTTATAAAAATATGTATTATCTTATTATTGTATTTTAATTTGAAACCATTCATACAAGTATAATAATATCACTCTACAGAGTCTTAAGCACCTTTCTGGGGATTATTACAGAAACATGTCATATAAGTGAAATTTCATTATAAACTGTTTATTAATATAATGATCTTACTTTTTTTTATAATAGATGTTAGCGGGGATAGAAGCCTTAGCTTTAAAGAAACCACCTTGTGGTCACAACATTCTAGATCAATCCTTGACAGACATTAGCCAGCTACCAGTACTGCCACACCTCATACATCATCTTGCGGAAGAGCGACTTCTTGTTGAATGTGATCGAAATAAACAGCTTAATGAAGGGAAAAGTAAACAGGAGAAGGAAATGTCTGAGTGCTTATCCAATGTGATACTAAAAGTTCCGTCCTTTAGACCAGGCTCTCAGACAAATTTGAACAAAAGTGGCACAACTAGTGCTCTGTCATCTAGTCAATCAGGTCATAACCTGGGAAGTAAAGGTATATCTGTTTCCTTGAAAGAATTGATTGCCAAAAGTATTACCCAGAGGGTTGGCAAAACTGATGTGTGCCTAAGTAAGGAAGACAATTTAATTAACAATCAGGCAGTAGAAAAAGAAGAGAAAGTCTGGAACAACTTGAAAAGCAGGTTGGTATTAAAATCTTCCAGCCAGGACTCCTGCCCAAACTCTTCTCAAGTTGTTGAATTGCCTAAAAAAGAAAGAAAACAAATACGTCCTAAACGAGGGCGTTATAGGAATTATGATCATAATAGCTTGACATTGGCTGTACGTGCAGTACAGAGAGGCGAGATGAGTGTTCACCGTGCTGGAACTTACTATGGTGTACCCCATTCCACACTAGAATATAAAGTTAAAGAGCGACATCTGTTACGTACCAAGAAGAAAATAAACTATACTCAAAAATCTTCAGAAAGTTGGACTTCTCCTAAGAATAGTGATAGCAAACAGAGTTTAAAGAAACTTTCTGGGGCGACAAACACGAAAGGAAATGAGTTAATAGTGTCTCCAGGTAAATTAGAAGGTTCATCTTCACAGCAAACTTCCTTGCCGTCCCAAATTTCACTTTGGCAAACTATGCCATTTTTTTCTGTTGACTTTCCAGGGCTGAATTCCAGCTCTGGTAACTTCTTTGCCTCTCAGATGATGCGCAAATTGCAGGCTAATGCTCAAAGGCAGGAAGGGGAAAGAGGAGAACAACAGCAAGAAGTAGGAATTTTGGAAAACCTGATTAAGAAGACTCTTGAAAAGTCAGTTTCTTTGGAAGAGAAAAGCGCCTCATCCCTGATCTTTTCTAGTACTAAAGAAAGTGATACAAATCTAAAGAGAAAATAGTAGAACTTAATTTATCTTCTTTTTCCCCAGTCAAATTGTGGAAGCAGTGCTGAAGCACTCTAATGTGTAGTAGAATCCTTTGTAAGTGTTTATCTTCTGTTGTTTGTATTTGTAGGTGGTGCACTTGGTGCCTTTTTAGTTGTCTTGTGTTATTTACCACTTGAAGATCAACCTAGTCCCAGCTGTGATGGAAGTAAAACTTATTTACTCTATTGTAATGTATAATCATGTGGATTTTCACATCACTGTTGCTTTTTTTTTATGAATTTTAAATTGCTAAGTTTATTCTTATTATTTTTATTATTATTGTTATTCAAGCAAACAGCATTGGCAAGACTTTTGTTAGCAACTTTAACTGTGATATTGATTTTAAAGATATTTCCATTCTTTATAGAAAAACCATTCCACAGATATTTCCTTCTGTGTGAGCATTCCAAAATTTATCTAGCATTCCAATTTGGAAAAAGGGTTTCTAAAAGTAAGTTGACTCTAATATTTGACTGAATTTCAGAATAAGTAAACTATACTTTAAATGCATAAACTCACATCTTTGTGATGAAGTACCTTTTTATGACGTTTTGTTTGTTATTACACAAAGTTTGTCTTCCATCTCTCCCATATATCACTTTATTATATAATATCCACATTAATGTTCACGACACCTCCCCCGAACAATTTCACACATTCATCATGTATTTGTGACTGTTTATGAAAGTGCAGTTTGTCAGTCTTATTGTTTCATACATGCTTTTGTTTTGTGATCTGTTGGTACTTATCTTTAACTTTTTTTCTCTTGTTTCATTTCACACGTTCTTGGATTGCATTCCTATAGTTCCATTTTCTGAATAATACTTTTTCAGTTTACGTTGCTAGCATAAATGTTTGTACTAAGCTACATGGACTTCATCTCAACTATTATATTAATTGTTGTTGAATTGTTTTTTGTTTTTTTAAGTTTAAATGCTTTATTTCTTGCTGGCATACCCTTATATTGCTTTTTATTTTGATCACCAGTGGAAGAGACTTGGGTTTAAGACTATGAAGGGGAACTCTTGCAACGTATTTGAAACATTTGATTCATTCGTATGGATGTGCTTTCCCCCTAATATTTTGATTTGGGAGTGGCAGAAAATATTTAACCTCTCCTTCATCTTATATTTCTGTGAATTTCTAGAATTCTGTGTTTAGGCATTCAATTGATTGTCAGCTTAGCATCTGGTGGTTATAATTGAACTCTCAAGATTCATTAGTGATAGCTTTTGACAGAATCCTCTCTTTTAAGTTATTTTGCTCCTGATGCATATGTTTCTCACATTCATGCTTCATTGTTCTAAAGGATTAAAATGTTTTCTTCTCACTGATTTAACCATAATTTTTGTTATTCTTTATGTTAGTTTTGGTTATCAATTCTAAAACCCTTCTAAGAACAGGTTTTGTCTATTACATAATCTGCTCCATCTTGATAATGGCCAAAGATTGACAGTTGAAACTATTATTTTGAATATGGGGTTCCTGCTGCTTGGATTAATATCCTGTATGTTGATTCTCATTTTCCACTCCCTCTCTTTACCATTGTCAGGAGGAGACTCTCTAGGCTTCTGTTGAAACTCTTCATAGAGCTACTATTGGAGTTGGCTTTGGTTTTTTTTTAAAGCTTATTTCCTAATGCTCATTTCTTCCTTCAGGACATTTTGTAAACTTCTTTTTTATGATTGATTGGAATCTTCTCCCTACCAATATTTTTTTCCATGGAGTGTGTTGATAATACTGTTTTATTCCTTAGCTGTTTGCTCAAGACGTTCTGTCTTTGAGGACATTAAATTCCTTTTAATCTTATTTTCTCTAGGCTGTATCTGTTTCACCTTTGGCTATTGTGTCATTAAAGGATGTTGTGATACAGTTTGTCTACCCATGAAAACAAAATCCCTTATTTCTGTGGCTCAATTCCAGAATAATGCTTTAACTTTTTTTCATTGCATAGTTTGGGAATAGTTCTTAATGCTAACTGAATATCAAGTACTTGGTCTTTGATGGTATACAATTCTCTTGCTTATTGTCTGTAACTGTAGATAGTATTTTTCAGGTTTGGTACATTTTCTTAAGTAATGGTGTTCTTATTAATCTTGATAATTTATTTGTCACTATGTACTTTTAATATCTGGAAAATATTCATTCTGTATTTTCAGATGCTAGATTTTTTTCATGGAGTTCTCGCATTGAGATTATCACCAATTTTGGATTTCGGGCACCATGGAAATTCTTTAATTATCCCTTTAAAAATGCCTCAGTCATGACTCCCCCCCCCCCCCATCTTTCAGTTTCTGATACCAGACTTGTTGTAGGTTCTCAAGATGAATCATCTAAAACATGATCTTTCATCTCAGCCCTTATGTTTAACTCCCTATCTATTCAGTGTTAAGGGTTCTCACTGATTTACAAAAATATATTTTTCTACAGTAGCCTTCCTTTAAATAAACACAGCCTTTGTTTCATCTTTCATTTCAACTTCTTAGTATGAAGTCTCACTCCTTGTCTTCCAGGAAAAAGCTCTGTCATGTGCATGGAGTGTGTTTATTTTAGATAGTCTTTACTTTCTTTGTCACTAGTTACCAGTCAGTTTAATATTCCTTCAGCTGTCATGCTCTCTCTACCTTCTGTATCTGTAATTGTCTTCATTCCCATGACCTTCTTGCAGGCTATGCCTGTTCATTCTTCTATCTCTTGTAGTTTTTCTGGGTTCTTAGCATTGAGCACACATCATTTTGTCATGGATGCCATATTTTATCTCTTATTTTCTTTTTTTCCAAGGAATGTGAATTTGTTCTTTCCTATCCCAAATTAAGCTCATTCTCCTATTTATCAGGTCATTCTGGATTGGAGTTTCGATTTTCCATCCAGGCAGTTCTTAAATTTGTAGCTTATTCTCTTCTACTAGAACTTCTGCATAATTGATTTGGACTTTTGCCAATGATTTTATTTCATGTGGAATGCCCCCATTAACTTGCAGTATTCTGGACTTAATTCTTGCAGTAAGTTTTCATTTGCTTGATGAATTAAAAGTTACAGTCATTCTTTCTGTTGTTTTACTTTTTTCTTCATCACTACCCTTATGGTTGAGGAATTTCATGGTGAATAAATGAAAAATACCACAAGGAAAATATACACAAAAGAATCAAAACATTATATTTTTTTATTAATCAAAAAACCACTATGCTTTAGCAGAATCTAAGAATGATTTTGATGCTATAGAAATTTCAAATACCAAGACACCCTTCTATAGCATTGATTTGAATTTGGTCCCCCTACTCCATTTTGAACTTTTTGTCTGCGCCTTTCATTGTGAGATCTACATGAACTGAACATTCAGAATGTCAAAAAAAGGATATTTCAAGATATAGAGGTATCTATAATCAGTTCATTTCAAAACTTTAGCCTCAAACATATTCATGTTTTAAGAACTAAAAATTAAATGTGCAGTCAAATTTAATGTTCTATTTACCACTTGTTATTAAATTAAACAAATTTCCAGGAATTTCACCTTGTTCACCCTGGACAAGGGCAAGTCAAAAGAATAGACTTCATACACCAAAACCAGTATAATTCAATGAGTAGTGGTAAATTGAATGACAGATTGGGCTTCACATTTATTGTTTATAATTTAAACAACTTGTCTGGCAGAATAATTCACAAGAATGAATTAGTAGCATAGATGCTACTTAAAATACCTATATAAATATAAGATTACTATATGAATAATGACATTTCAAAACACCATACATATTTTGGTGATAAGCATCAGATGCTTTTGAATGACTAATTTTATTTTTTATAAAAACTGGAGGTTTCTGTTATCATCAAATCGATTTATATGTTTTAGAAACTCGACTGATGTTATGTAACATTGAATATTTTTGGGTAATAATTCATACTAAGCAGACATTGTGGAATACTTGCTGTGTATGAATTGTTTACTGTTTGATTAGTACATCAAATACTTTTAAACTTTCGTTACTCTTTAAGTAAACTTCTGTCGTTCAAGTGCTTGCATTTGGTAATCATGTTAAATGATTAAAAGGACTAAAAGCCAAATGCTCTTTCGATATTAGAAAGTTTTTCTCATTGCATCATGATAGTTTATATTATACAGAGTTTTCTACATGTAGTTCAAAATGTATAAATTCTTTACATATTCAGTTAATATAATTGAATTTGAAAATGCCTCTCTTACTGTTTAAAATTAACTTTATAATGTTCTACTCTCATGAAGATGAGAAGGTTATGAGTGGGATGCATAGTAAGGTTTGAAGTTTTGAGGACCATGTTAGGTATGTCTTGACAAAAAAAGCATTCAGTGCAGCTTAACATACGAAAATTGATTTCTAGCATGATTTAAACCTTTTGTTGCTATTATCTGATGCAAATTTCATATAAGGTTACTGATATCTATTCCATGAGTTTATCTACATATTCATGATTATTTTGTATTGTAAAAATGGTTACATGGGACCTCCCACTACTTCATCATTCTAGTGTTCAAAATTGATGTGAAAAAACTAGCTTTTACAGCATGAGAGACCTATGAAATATTATACAATCTCCACTTTTGTATCTTAGCTTGTTGTTGAAATGGAATTGACTTGTAAATACATAAAACTCATCTGCACACATGGAATGTTTGTACTAATAGTAAGTGAAATAAACAAATGAATCTATTTTTACTGATATTTCCAAACAATCCTAACAACAGATTAAAATGTCACTTTTACATTAAATTTAATATTATGCAGTTAACCTTTTTTATGCCTATGGGTATACTTACTTGGAAAACTAGAATACTGTGGTTTTGTTTTCACCATGTAAGAAATAAAATAATTTTGGATGCTGTAATCAGTTAATTTCTATAGAAGATTAGGTTTTTTTGAGGAAGAGCCAATGGTTTTCTTGTTGTCACTCTATAAATGGCAAAGATATAGTGAAATAAAGAACTTTGCCGAAAAATCGCTACTCACGTAGTAATATATAGGTCCTATTTTATATCACATTGTATGTAAATTAACACACATACATCAAAAATAGCATGGTATTTTAGAATTACACACAAGTCAGTAAAGAAGTGCATTATTTATTGAATATTAATGTTGTATGTCAAAACTGTTCAAATGTCATAGCACACTGCAGGCATGATATATATCGAAAACAACTAAATTTTGTTAATTATATACACATTATCATTGTTGGGCACATTAGAGAAAAAAGTACCTCATTACTAGCAACCATTTTTTTTAGAAAAAGTAATATAATATCCTTATATATATTATTGAATAAAAAAAGTAGTATGTTATATTACTCCTTTTATGTTATTCATTACATTTTTTACTCTTGTCCTGTGAAACAGTTATTGTGATTATTCCTCACTTTTTTGTAATTATATGTCTGGAAATTGATTTATTAATTGTATGTCAATCTAACTGTACAGTAGCAAAAGTAGCCAGATTAAAACAAAACTAAGAACTTGGTGCTGTTAAAACTTGTATGAAAGACATTTTGTGAACTGATTTCTGAAAGGAAGATTATATTTAACATGTCATTCAGGTATTTTATTTGCATAGAATTTAGAAACTGAAATTTACTTGGTTATAAAAAAAATAGAGTACTAATGTGGATGTAAAAAGGAAATAGGACGACCTTCTTTCATTGATCCAGAAAATAACTGAAATATCATTATTCCCATTCAAATTCCAGTGTATTATAATATCTCGTTAGTAATACTAATAGTAATACTATTTCAGTAATGAGTTACAAAAATGACATGTTACTCCTATCTCTGCATATTATACCATATATAAATGTGTACAGTTTTTTTTATATGTTTTACTTCTTTGATGTTGTGATTTACAAGAATATGACTCTTGATAATTGGATTTCATTGTAAACAAACTAACATTCATAGGAATGTGCCATCCATTGTTGGTCAAATTGGGGTTATTAAACATTGGATAGAGGATTATTAGAGTATCTCAAAGAGAATGCTCCCTTACCTTATTCCTGGTAGTATGTATATACATAGTTATTTAGGTAGGTATTTGTTCAGTATACTGGGACAAAAAGACCAACTTCAGGTACCTGGGCTTGTCTCAGCTCACCCAGTTTATACTTGAAAAAATTTTAAGACATAGGGAGGAGGATGGGGACTTGTGAAGTATTAAGGTAAGGGTTTCTAGTTCTGCTTAACATCACTTTGTAATTATTAAATAAAAGGGTGGAGGTTGGGAGTCTTATAGAAATATAGGGTGGCCTACTTCTAGTATAAGAATATTTTTTGCCTTTTCGTACATCTCATAATATTTAAAAAAAATAGAGTGGAGTTTGAAGTTTTTTATATTGTTAAATTTTAAGGTGGTTTAATTTTACTTCAAGATTATATTTAAATATTAGCATTGCTGCTTTCCCACAACTGGCTACAGACATTAGGAGTTGAGACATTGTACGTTCAAACACTCAACTCCTAACTCTTGTGTGATTCTGTGTAGTTGCTGGCTAGTTTGACATTGCCATCTGGATCTTTTCTGATAAATGGAATATCCCCAACCTGTTTGGGTGCTATGGCTACAGGCATTATCTATTATGACTCAAAGATGACATTGAAGACTGGTAATGGAAGAAGAAGTTTTGATTTTGTAGTCTCATGATAATATTTTTGTTTTGTGTGTATAAATAAAGCAATAGTTCTAAAGCTACCAAATACATTAGTTATAAATAGGCGATTTTTAAATCAGCACTATAAAACTATAACGATGAAATTAGAATAAATCAAAAACATTACAAAGAGAATATCAAAATTCAATTTTCCATTACTAGATTTTGTCAAATTAAAACTCATAGTAGATAATTGTCTGTGGTCATAACCCACAAATGCATTGGAGATATTCCATCTATCAGACAAGATCTAGATCTAATGTCAAACTTGCCAACAACTAAGGAAAATCAGTTAAGGGTTAGGATTTGAGTGCTTGAACCCACAATGTTTCAACTCCTACTGCCTTTTGCTGTCTGCATGCAGCTATGGGGAAGCAGTTACTCTTAATATTTAGATATAGCCTTAAAGTAAAAATTTCTATAATGTAAAACTTGCAACCTCCACCATTTTGTTGATGTGATGAGATGTACAAAAAGGTAGAAATATTCTCATAGTAGAAATAAACCACACTATATTTCTATAAGACTCCCAACCACCCTTTTATTTAATAATTACAAAATGATGTTAAACAGAATTAAAACCCTTACCTTATTTTGTTCAAGTATAACCTGGTTGAGCTGAGACAAGCCTAGCTACCTGAAGTTGGTCTTTCTGCACTAGTATACTGAACAGAATACCTAAATATTTAAAGTTAGTTACGTATAAGCTAAAGATGACCTTGAGTAATGGCCTCTTTCTTCTCCAAAAGGTAGTTTCCCTAATCTAGAGTTTACGTTTTAACATAATTTCATATTTATTATAAAAATGTACAGACATTATTTATATGGCAGTACTTATAAGCATTAATTTTCAATTTATTTATGAATAATTGTACATTATCCTATTGTTAAAAGTCTTTTTAATTCGGAGATGGGAATTCCTTTTAATGGTATAGATGTAAACACTGTTAGAGGTAGGTAAAATCAAATTACCTTCTTTTATGAGAAAGAGAGAATCCTCAATAGCCGTAGATGTAATTAGATCTGAAATCGGTTAAGATATGGAGATATGATCTGAAAGTTTGTACTTGAAAAAACAAAAAAAACTCGAAGCCATCCTGTGAGCCGCTATGCCGCGGCTAAAAATAGTCAAACTGTACCTTCTACAAAATCAATGTCTAAGTAGTGTCGTTGAATATCACTATAGTTAATTCTTTCCAGTATAAGTTCCTTTAGATATATCAGGTTTGAATTAAAATTGAAAATGTTGATAGTGATTAAATCATCTAGGTAACGAAAAGTATACAAATATAAATTAGAGTTTGATACTGTTTCAAAAATGGATTTTCATAGAAGAACAGATACAAGTTGGCCATGTTTAAATAGAAACTTGCACCCATCGAAATACCCATTGTTTGCTTATATACTTGCTCTTAGAAAGTATAAGTATATAAGCAAACAATGGATATTCCAATGAGTGCAAATTTATCTGCTTTTCTATGAAAATTAATTTTCGTTACATAGGTGGTTCATATGTTTCTCTTAGAAGAGATCCAACAACAAAATTTCAAAACTTGATAAAAAAAGTGTTGCCCAATATATATAAATTTGTTGCCTGAACAAAAAAAAGTCCGATTCCTTCCAATTTTTGACTACCCCGTTTTTGTTCTGTAACTAAGATTCGTAAGTTAAACAATAGTTGTAGACTATATTAAAATATTGAACGATCAACGTTGTATAATATACAATTAAAATTCTAATTAAAAACCGATCAACGGTCGCAGAAAGGCACTTAGAAACAAAAGTGAAAATTCTGCACGTGCCAATTATACTGGTCAAGTCATTCAATGGGGGAAAAACTTATTCTGGCTCAACCGAATGATATTACAGCTAGAAAAATTAGAGAAACCACATAAATAACGAAACACAGTAAAAATAATTTAATCTTAAATAAGGATGAAGGGTTAGAAAAGTAGGTGATGTGATCTTTTTTAAATAAGTAAACTAATAGTTAATAACTATGATTTTTCTTTGTATTTATATGGCGCACAGTATTTGTTTTCACACTGCTGAGGATGAAGTGAAGGACGCCGAAATATGTAATGCCTTTTTACGACAGTTGATCGGTTTTAACTAGAATTTTAATTGTGTATTATACAATGTTGAGTATTTTAAATATTTATACAAGTTTGTTTTAATTTTATCTTATAATAATTTTAGACTTTTATCCAATAAGACATCTCGTTTCAGTATGTCGCAAAGTATATTACTTAATGGTTTTGCCTTTTTGAGCAATGAGAATAAATATACTATTAAGAAGTTTGCTGAATTTATTGAGAAAATTAAAATCATTAAATTTAATCCTTCTAATAAGTTGGTATCATTTGATGTAGTTTTGTTGTTTACTGAAGTCCCATTTCAAAGACATTTCCAAGCTTCCATTTTTCCAATCAAAATTGTGGACATCATTAATTATCTAGTGTGTGTTGAAAATTCTTTTTTCAAAGTTAATGAAAGTAATATGAGCAGAATGTTGGTTTAGCCAAGGTTCCATTTGTATGTGATCTTTATTTGGATAGATTCAAACGTATTGCTCTTGATTATGCTTCTTTAAAACCCGATTGTTGGATTAAATTTGCTGATAATACGTTATTGGTTTGGCGGTAAGGAGAAACTGAGTTAAAACATTTGCTTATTATGTAAACAATGTTGATCCTTCTAAATCTGTTGGCCTGGCATGGCCAGGTGGATAAGGCGCTCGACTCACAATCTGAGGGTCGCGGGTTCG